ATTTTTTTTTACTTTCAGTTTTTCAACTCTTATAATTTCTAAGCAATCGTTTGATTCTCTATTTTTATCAAAGCTTCTATAATTAAAAGTTTCTCCTGTATACTTTTAGCGTTTAACGGCTTTTGTTGATCACTGAAATTTAAATATTGTATCAACATTTTTTTTGCAGCAGTAGAGAGCTGAATTTTCACAGACAAATGGAAAATGAATCTATTTTAGGAACATTTCAATTTGACAGAGGTTTGATAGCGGAACGGATCCGCTTTCAGGAAAAGCAACAGTTGTGAAAAATAAAGTTGTCTCGTTTCAGTTGTTGTCAGTTTCAGATGAAGAAAGATTTTAGTCTTATTTTATCCATTTTATAATATAGCTCCAAAAGATATTTTGGCTTTTTTTCAATTATTTCATCCATTATTATTTGATTAATAAATTTCTTGAAGATTTCAACCAGTTGCTATCATCCAGGATTTTACTGCAACTATCAATGCATTAGATTGAAGTGAAGGATTGAAGATAGTACGATACTACGACGAAGAAATTAGTACTAAAATTAGTGAGTACGACTGCAGCAGTATCACATGAATTCTACAGATAATTGAGAAAATAATTCATGAAAAATGTTATGAATTTCGTAATCCTCAATTTGCATATTTAATTTCATTCAAATGATAATAGATTTCAAAGCCGAATATTTTGTAGTGAATATTTTTTTTTGTTGAATTAAATTCATGAAGGATTTCATTTATCATATTCCGAAAATGGTAATGAATATATTTTATGCAGTTGATCAATTCATAAAGTTATATATATACCTGGAATGGAGGGCAAAGTTAAAGAAGTCAAATATTTAATCGATTTAATAGTTTATGTATGTTTTATACATAAAATTGATCTAATTGTACATTCTTAATTGATTTTTCCATTTAATTATTTGATGCTTTGTATAATACACCTGAACTACTCTGATAGCATTACATTGCTTCAAATATGCACATAAATAATCTATTTTTATTTAAAAATATTGCAGCTAAAAGAAAAAAAATTTAATTTCGTTTAATTTCGCATTTTAGTTTATTATTCCCCGTTTGCAAATATCACATCATACTAATCAAAAATCAAACAAACAACATAATTCATTAGCTATCCATTTACAAATGCTACCGCTTTGCCACTAATACACTAATAATAGAGAGAGAGAAAAAAATTTAATTTTGAATAACAAGAAAAATAATTGCTAAAAAACTGAAGAAAAAAATTACATAGAATGCTTTGTACAAAAAAATGCTTATTCGTTTAACAAAACACTTTTCGCGAAATAATCTTTTATTATTTTAAAAAACAATGAACAAAAATAATTGCCATCACCGATATTATTATTCAATCCTTCCATACGGTTGAATAATCGGTTGTTATGAATTCGATTGCTGAAAGATCGGAAAAAATGTAGGTAATGACGGAGCTAATTAATTGAAGAAATTTTTTCATGTCCTTCAGTTTTTGCCATCCTGAGTGTACTATTTAATGAGAAAAATTTAAAATTATAAAGTTTAAAAATGATAACTTTTGGATTTCTAAAAGAAAAATGATAAAAATGATAACTTTTGGATTTCTATTTTAATTTTTCATAACTTTTAATATTTTAATTTTTACAATATTACATTTACATATTGTGATGATAGCAGAAATTGTTTTGTGAAATTGCGCAAGCATTCTTCATTTATCTATTAATTTATACAAACGAAATGCAGAAATAACTGATTTCCATTATAATGTAAGCATGCAAATTCACATTAATAACACCATTATTGCATATCAAATAATAAAACGATTAAAAAAAGCATTCGAATTTACCAATAAAAGAATGAGAAAGTTCTAGTGAAATTATGAATGTATATTTGTTTATTTATAAAACAAGCAAAAAAATTTTAAAATGGAAGCGTTGGAGATTGAAATTGAAATATTATAAGTTATGTTAACAAACAGTGCTTCAGAATTATCAAATATTGTGGAAGAGTAAAATAATCTAAGAAAATGATCAATATTTAAAATTTATTCGTGTAAAATTAGTCACTGCATGCATAGATCTTTTATTCAATGTCTTTTAACAAAAAATAAATTAAGTAAAATTGATTACAAACAAAAAAAAATTATGATAGAAAGAGTGATAAACAAGAATTTCTGAAATATATCTAATTTCCGGAATATAATAACAAAAATTTGTTGTAAAATTTCGAAAAATTAGGTTTTAAAATTTTATTATATTGTGAATTTGGAAACCTTAAACGAAAAGATGAAATTGGAGATCAATTGATGAGAAGTGAGGAAGGTGAAAAGAAAGGATTTGATTAAAAATTAGCTAAAAACTATCTGCTATCTGAAGTGTCCATCTAAATATAACAACTTTGTCCCATCAATTACAACATGGATGAGATTAGCATATATTAAATAGTGCGCTTTGATCAATTCACTTAATCTTAAAAGAAAATCGAAATTAATTGTAAATGTAAATAATTATGATTCCTCATTTGCTATGAAATTCTTTCACATCATAAAGTATTTTTTGAAATATAAAATAAATTCCATACAAAAATTTGTATTTCAAAATTTAAAAAAGATCGTTAAAAATATGTAAGATTTATTTTTCTTGTGAAAATGCAATAAATATTCAAATTTTGAGAAATACAAATTATAAAAAAAAAATTATTTTAATCATTGTTTCCAATCATCTGATACAAATAACGCTACAAATCATCTTATCATTACGAAATACAGACCTTAGCAGGATAAAAATTTACACTTAAGTATGATTTAAAATGTTTGAAATTTGAGAAATAAAGTTTTTGTAAAATTGATTTCAACATAATCACTAAAATTTACTATTATACTGCATAATTAATTATAATTTTTGAGCTTACTTTTCTTCTAATCAACTATTTTTCTTTCTACTGAAGTTTCCGAATCTCTCCATTAATCTTCAGGATTTTTTTAAATGATTACATTAAAGAGTGAAGGGGCATTGAAATGTATACAATTAAAGAGTATAAATAATATTTATCGTTTCAAACAGATCATCTATCTTGGCCAAAATGATAGAAATAAAGAGAAACAATTGAAATTCTAGAATCGCTCAGTCAACGATGAATGAAAATTCATATTCCAATTGATAATGAGAGATTTTAAATCTTGAAGAGAATCTCCTACAATAACAATTTTATCAATAACCGTATCCTTTCGGATCGATTTGAATCATTGGCATTGCTCTTCGATTTTCTTCTTCCTCGTCGTCACTGCTTGAATCTTCACCACCATTATGCTTTTTTGCACCAATTTCGGCATCAGAAAAATCGATCCTATATCTAAAATGAAAATTTGAATAAAGTGCTAAATTTGAATTTTAGCACTTTTATATTTGATTATTGTTTAATTGATAGAAAACATGAGATCGAAGATATATCTGTTTAATTTAAAAATGATTGTTAAGAAATTATTTCATTAAATAGGCAAAAAAAACTCTACCCTCCATGCAACTCTTTCACTTCGTCCGGATTAAACATTGCTTTATGCGATTCAGGTATATTTTCTTGATTGGCTGTCGGATCAACTACAGTTGGATCAAATATAGCATCCATGTCCAAATCAGAGCATTGAACATAATCTATTTCAACCTGAAAATAATGACAAATCTTGAATACCTGAATGAGAAACAAAGGTAAGTATGAATTAGAAACGCGAATTCATTCCATTTATTGAATCGCCAAAAAAATTACCAAACTTTTATCAAAAATTACCAAACTCTTATCGGAAATCCGAAAATTACTTTATAATAAGATTATTTACATGTTTAAAATATTTAAACATGTAAATAATCTTATGTTATTTTTGGATTTCCGATAAGTTTCCGGTCTACTTTTCAAATCTAAATTTGAAATTATTTAAAAGAATGAAAAAAAGATGCTATTGACAACATGTGTGTTAAGTAACATATTTCAAATTATTTAATGTTCAAAAGAATTTGTATTTAAAGATGACTGTTAGAAAGTTTGCATTAGCAGGTCCCAAATTAAGCATACAAAAATCAAATATTAATTATTTTCATTACTTAAATTGCATAAAAATTTCATCCATTGATTATATAAAGTCTGTTTTTTTGTTGCATAATAACAAAGAGATATAATGCAAACTTTGTATGTACACTTTGCCACATATCGGACGAATTTTTCCACACGATCGCTATCTTCATGTTGTTCAACGCTTACTGATCGTACCACTGTATTACTGATCATTGCAAGCGGCATTGTAAATTCCACATCACACGTTGGCGTAAATGTTTCGGGCATCAGATCAAATGATGAAAGTTCAAAACGACAACGTAATAAATGTTCCCTGTATGCAGCATGATACTTTTCTGGTAGACGTGGAATACGCCAAACTAAGGATCGAAAAACATGCTCATATTTTGCTTCACCAATGCCTGCTTCGATAAGTGAATTGTCAACATTGTGAACCGTACCCATTAGACGATCTTTGAGATTCTTAAATTGATAAAAAAAATTTTTTAATTTATCAGATGACTTAAGTCAGGTCAATGATTGTTCTTATTTTAACTTCAAACCATTGGCTATCACTTTTATCTATTAGGAAGATGTAAAAATAAAAGTGAAAGGAAATTTCTGAACTTGCCATAGTTAATATCACAGTTAATCACAGTTAATAACATTTTAATCATAATTAATAATACCACAGTAATAGTTAACATCAATGTTACGAGTAGTTCAAAACGATTTAAATTTGTTACCTTAACTTTACCCGGTCGTCTCACTTTTGCATGCACAGATCCAACACCCCATCGTCGTTCTTCACGAAACAAATAAATCCATGCTTCCGGTACTGGAAAACGAATCTGAATATCCTCACAGGGTACTTGACGTTTGCTACTAAGAGCACCTCTTGTTTTTTCTGTTTGTGCCGCTGCCATAGCTTCAATTCGAATTTCAACCTGAAAATCATTAAATTCCATAAAGCTTCAATCTGAAAAATGTCATGTTTTGAAAAAAATTATTTTAAAATTATTGAAAATATACATTTAAAATATACCTTGGAACCGGCAATTTTCATTACACATTTTACTGTTAATGGCTTCTCGCGATTTTTTGGCGGCCTTATTCGAAATCTCATCACCTATTGAAAATTTTTATTTACAATAATTAAAAGCTTTTTTAAGTGTCTAAAATTTCAAATATTTGAAATATTTTTAAGTGTTCCTAAGCATACATAAATCATTCCTTGTTAACATTAGCTACTAGTAGTGGAAATAACATTCATATTTACATCAATTTGTTCTAATTCAGTTAAAAATTCGAGACAAACTTGTGCACATTACATAAGATAATGAGTAGATGTATTCTCGAAATGGTTTTATTGTGCATGAACCTTACTATGAATACAAATTAGTCCTTTAACATCTTGAAACATTTAGATGTCAGATCTTAGCTTAATCCTCAAGTCTGCATGATCAAAATTTCAATTTTCCAATCATTCAATTTTGTGATATGAAAGTTTAGTGTTAAAATATTTTCTCTCATTAGATTGTTTAATTATAATTAGCTCTTACTACATCCAAATCATTGACAAAGTAATGAAGCAATAAATGATACCTCGAAAAAGCATCCATCAGGTGGTGAAAGTCGAATCACTTGCTCTTTTTCAAAGGCTTCTTGCTCAACCGTATTGTGAAATTCGAGATTTTCAAATCGTATCCATCTTTCGGTATACATTGGTAAAATATCTTTCCGACGTACTATTTCCTATAGTATTTCATAATTTTTTGCAACATATGAAGGTAAAATAATTAATGACGTATTATATGAAAATAATTATGAATGTAGTGCATATAATTAATCATTAAATTATAAAAATGACTAACTAACAAACCTTTCCTTGTCTACGACGATCATTAAGACCAATTTCAAGTATGGGTGATCCGGAAACGAATGCAAGACAATATAATCGTACACGAGCTTTCTGATCGCTTAGAATATTGAATTTGTCCACATAAGCAGCATATTCATCATAGCAATGAATCTTTTAAAAGAGATAGAATTGTTTTTTTTGAAAAAAAATTAACCATAAAATTCTTTTTTATTTTATCTCTTATTTCATTATATGTTATTACTTAGTTTCTATTCCTGAAAATAATAATAATACATAGTAAATCATATGTTTTTTAATATGTTATCATGAAAACTTCTTGCTCACTAGGTTTTTTTTCTACACACAGTAATGAATAAATAGCGATCATTTGCATTAATTACAGTAATAATTCACTCATGGAAATTATTATTAGCAAAAATCAAACACTTACAAATAGGTAATTTGCAGAATAAATCAAATCATAACTTGATTTGGATAAATCAAGTTATCATCAATTGCAACTAATAACTGATAAACGTTTTAAATTTTCAAAATCTTATTCTTAATTAAATTAGCAATCATTTAAGTTCTTATTGAAAAACTATGCATCAAAAAAATTATTACTTGAATTTCATCCTGCTTATACTGAGGTGTACTATTTCTTACAGCTACACATCGAAAGAGTGTATCCTCAATGGTAGAAACAAATGTGAACAATTCGGCAGCATTTAATGATCCAAACTTTAATAGTACTGTACATTGTGCAGAATGTTCGAGTGGTAAACCATATTTTGTTACATGCCCTTCTACTAGCCGTGAAATTTGTCCTGAAAATTTCGCAATAATTTGTTTTAATAGTAATCAAATTTTCAAAAACTTGATTAGAATTGTAATCGCATAAATAATGGCTAAAATCAAGGAATAATAAAATTTTACATTGAAATTTAGATTTAAAAATTTTTAACTAGCGGTATTTCTCTTTATACCTGGTCTTATGCCAACCCGTTCTTTATATGAAACATATTGCAATTTTACTGTGTGAATTTTGCCGTAAACATCATATGCTTGCAATGTTGGATCCGAAAGAGAATAGGTCGCCTGAAGTTATGAAATTATTTTGATCGGGATTTGTGAGCTTAAAAATGACTTAATCACTTCCTTGAAATAAAATCAGTAATTGTTAAATCAATAATCATAAATTAATATATTAAATTGACCATAAATTCAATTAGTAAGCATTTATTAATAAATGTCACAAATCATGTTACATACAGCTAGAAAAATAGCTAATTATTATCTGAATAAGTGAATTTACAAATAATCATGAATTTGATAATTTATGCAATAGGACTTATGCATTAAGATATATGGTTCAAATAATTTTTTTCAAAAAGCTGAAAACCTGTAATAAGATTTCCATGAATGGTTTTTGCTCAGTTTTTGAACTGAACATGAAAAGCGTATTGTCACGTAATCTCACGTAACATGGTTTCCAGTAACGATCACTCATAATTTTTTTCTTTATAGGATATCGGATCATCATTTCCCAACCGTCACCGGTAAATTTAATTGGAAAATCGGTCAATGGCTCACTATCATCTTCATCATACAATGGACTTGGCGTACTAATAGCATCATCCTGAATATTTAATTTATTAAACAGTCAACCGTTAAAAAAGATATATCTCAAAAATTAAACTTTTTCATTTCTTTTAATTTAAATACAACTGACCAGACAATTATTCAATCATATTTTTTAGATCAGTTTTAACAAGAAAAAATTGTTATCAATAAATGCTAGAATTAGACTAGTAAAAATGTCAAAAACTAACTTCCACTTGAAATTCATCATCAAATCCGAGAGGTCGTGAACTAGCTGGACTACCACCTTCCTGAGTTGGTGAGCTAACATCACTTTTTTGTTCGTTTATTTTAGTAGCAAAGAAATCAATATCTTCTTTAGTTTCTTCTGCAGCAATTACTGCAGCAACTCGTGCTTTTGCTTCTTTAACCAGTTCATCCGCTGAGCATACATTGAACGGATCGTATTCCTATAAATGACAGTAATTAACATCATTTATTGATTATTTTTTAAAATAGCATTTTATTTGCTAATAAAGCAGTGAAAATATCGTTAACAGAAACCTGATCAATTAAATTGTCATTTACTTCACCACATACAGCCATAGAATCACCAAATGCTTTATCAGCTGAAACTGGAGCTGCAGAAGCTGTGGTGAAGAAACCTGATTCAGATGGTGGTAATTCAGCCGGTTCTGAATCATCAAAACCAGTCCAAGTTGAATTATTCGGCTCTTGGCTGAAATATTATAATATAATCAATATACTGATGACGAGATAGAGGAAACTGTATGGATTTATTTATCCGAAATTAGGGTTTAATTTCTAAGTTAAAATTATTTGCACACTAATCAAAACTTTAAAAAAAAATGAAAATGGAAATAACTACATGTTTGTGAATTTTTGACGCTTGAAACCAATTATCAGTAAACTAATTAACGGTGAATTTCTCATAAATGGCATAAAGATACTTAAAAGTTGTCGCGGCACTTGTTTCATTGCGAGTATTTGAAGCATTCATATTTACCACATTGTCATCAGTTGGTTTGGCTGTCAGCGTTGAACTGGAAAAGTGAAGACTGAATTCTTGAAATAAGCTTAATGAATGAACGATAAGAAAGCAATAATACTCCATGAATACATGAATTTAATTTTTAACTTAATTAATTAATTGTTTCTTTTTAGCATACTATACTGTGAATGAACTTGAAAATTTGATTTAAACAACCAATAAGGCATTGCTAACATTTCATCAGAAAATTCATTTGATTTATGGACAGGAGTTGATGAATCCTTTTGTTCTGTTGGTGGCTTCCAATCCTGCAAATACTGTTCGCTGTGCAATTTGATTATTTGCCTTTTTGGAAAATTCTGTGTTTTTTATTAATTTCAAAATCGAAAGGAAAAGTTAAAGGACATAGTTGAAAAGAAATCGGAGAACAAACAAATGGTTATTGTTCGACTAATAGTTTCAAATGCATGAAAACTGATGAATGTTAAGCTTTCACTTGATATCAACGAAAACTATGAAAGTAATCAGATTTTATGGTGAACAAAGAAATAAGCTTGGGTAAGTTAATGATAGGTAATATTAATATATATGTTTTTTTTCGATATTTCCATTTCAATACCATAAACGAAGTCTACATTTTTTTTTCTACATTTTGAGTTTAAGTCTACATTTTAAGCTCCTTGTCAAAGGTGCATTTAATTTGTTGTCCCGTAAATTGATTTGAAAATTAATAGTGTCATTTTAAAATGCACTATTGACATTTTTTTCAAGATTTCTTAATTCCTTGGTAAATCATCTTAAAGATGGGAAAGCAATCACGAATAGATGTTTACAAATATATTATCACTTTTATACTAAAAACAAAGTCATTAGAAACAAAAAATTTAATAACTTAATCAACCTGCAGATCAATCCTTGTGGCAGCCATCTTCTTGGCAAGTTCCATAGCAGCTCGATCCATATCATCTTCTTGAGCTAACGTCAATTCCGGTTCCGGGATTTTCTTCGACTTTCTATGTTTCATCATCTTTTTTTCTTTCACCGGTGCAGTTGTTGTCCTTTGCTCTCGTGCTTGCTTATAAGCCTGTTCCGGTATATATGCTTGAGAACCACTGCAAACTTTCTCATTTTCATTACAATCATGTAAACAAGAATAATTTGCTAATAAAATTGACCAGATTTGTTATAAATGTTAGGAGTAATTAATTATCTCTTATTAATGATCAATCAAGCAATCACTAAATATTGGACGTGATCGAGTATGACCTGTTTTACAAGACATTACAACATTTATCATTCATTTATTTATCTTTCCCTCTATTTCATTAAAACATACCCAATTTGGGCGAGATAACTTTCATCTTTAATATCTTTGGCAGCTGTCGTCTTCTCCAATTCTTTCAGCCTTTCTTCAGTTGATTTCACTGCTATTGTAGCTTTTTCTGTTAATTTTTTAAACTGCGCCCATGCATCTTCTTCTTCTTCCCTTGATTCTGCTAATTTAGACGATGATTGCTGATGCAATGATGATTCGGTGGAATGTTTCAGATTTGGTGAAAATGGCATTGGAGGTCGTGTTGGTGGTTTTAAGCGTTCAACGGATGGTGACGGTGGAGCGGGTCGTAAAGGTACTAAAAACAGATTAAATTTATCGTTATTCCATAAATGGTAGTTTTTACTTAAAATCAAACTTCAATGAATATTTCAACTTTGTGGAATGCAATCCGATAAACAGAACAATGTTTGAACGTTAAAAACAGATTGAATCTATCGTTATTCCATAAATGGTAATTTTTACTTAAAATTAAACTTTAATGAATATTTCAACTTTGTGGAATGCAATCCGATAAACAAAACAATGTTTGAACGTTAGAATAAAATATATCTTTTGAAGTATTGTGTAAAAAAGTGATTTAATAACAAAAACATTTCCCCTTCATTTATCTAGAAAAAAAATAATTACATTTATAATATAATTAAAATCTATTCGTTAAAATTACCTACATTTTCGCTTCATTTCTTCAGCATTTTGAACGCCACTATCACTTTCCACTGGTATTTCTCTAGAAAATAAAAGAGATTCCTAGAGAAATTGTAAATAAAACAAAAAGAAAATGTTGATAATTAATGTTTTGATTACTATTAATTTTTAGGATAAAAAAGTGCAAAAATATTTACAAATTTTAGACATCAAAAATCTTAAATTCAGTTTAGGAGGAATTAATTACTGGATATAGAATGAGTTTGTTAGTGACAATATTCAAAATTATCTACATTGTGTTATCAAAAAAAAAAAACTGGAAAAAATCTTGCCTAAATGTATATATAATAAATTTTGCGTTGAATAATGCAAAAAGAAAAAAAAAATCAAGCTTGACAAACTTTTGTTGATACGTTTCTGCAGAAAGTGATTGTGATAATTGTTGGTTAACCGATTGTGGTGCCGATTCTGTAGCCGCTGCTGCTACTGCTGCACTTTCTTGTGCTTCCCAAGAAAATGGATCGACTTCCGAACTGCAAAAAAATCTAAAAATTATTCGCTAACTTCATTCTAATGCTATTTTAAATTATTCTTATACGTTATTCTACTGTACTATATTGTACATTTATATCACCACTATTGTATTATACAAGTTTTGTTTATGAAAAAAAAAATTTTTATGAAAAAAAAAGATGCCTAATTACGGCTGGAAACAATGGTGCAATGTATTGCGGTATTACGGGAGGTCGATAAGTATCACTTGGATAGATTGATATAGCAGGATTTTCTGTAGTATACTGCTGATTGTATTGCATATCGTAATCGTTACTTGTTTTTTTAACAACACCTAAAAATTTTTCAATAATTAAAATAATTTATTTACAAAGCCTAATGTCATAGTATCTCTACCATGTTTGTTTATGGTATCTCTTCAATATGAAATATCAAGGTTAAAATAAAATTCGGTCACCTCTTACATGATCTTTAAAAAAAATCTGAACATGTCAAATCTCTCAGACAAACTATTTTGAGGATCTCTAAGCTTGAATTTCAAAATTTTCATCTTTCATAAGTTGTTGAATTTGATTATCTCACCTGAATAGGATTCCGAACCAGTTTGACTCGTATAATTTTGGTCATTTGCTGTTGGTATATAAGATGATGTGTAAGCATTGTAGCTATTATAGCCACACCCTTGTGATTGATCGTATTGTGAAGTATCGTAATCAGGTATTTCGGTAAATTGCTGGTCGTAATCCTGCATTGCTATCGGTTGTTGTGCGTAATCATGACTCATAATTGATTGTTGATCATAGCTCTGATACGCTGTTGTCAAATAATTCATTTGGTCATAATTTTCATAATTAACAGGCGCTTCATTCTGCTGCTGCTGCTGCTGCTGCTGTTCATAATCTTGATAAGGTGTGATACCATAAGTGTAATTTACATTCTGCACGTTATCGTAATTTTGAATCTGTGGCTCAGAATAAGCATATTGTTTTTGTTCTTGTTCTTGTTCTGTTGTTTGCTGATAAAGCGTATTATAATCTAAAATTATAGAATACATTCTCAATTTCCCCTAACTAATAAGATATTAAAAGAGTAAACAAAATAATTAAGTAAAATGAAGTTCAAAATGTAACAAATTTGTCACATTTTTTTCTTTCTCACAGATAAGTTTCAATACACTGGAAGCTCCTAAGCTAATGATAATTATGTATGGTGTAATGAATTTACTGAAAATTTATATTTCGGAATATAATATCATGAATTATTATATGCAATTAATTAATTTAAAACTAAATCAACTAAATGCATGCGACCTACCTATCTGTTGAAATCCTATCGCTTCAACTGTATGAGGAATCAGACTTTCTTCTGTATTCTCGTAATATGAATTTGTTTCATAATTTATCGTTGATTTTTCGTTTTCACGAATAACAGGATACTGTTCTGTACCATTTAAATGATTCGATGAATCAACGTTAGTCCTTTCACTGATAGCAGTTGATTCTTTTCGTTCCGTATTGATATCATTGCTTGTAGTACTTTTTTTTCGTTCCATTATAGCTTCATCCTTTGGCTCAAAAATTTCTGACTGATCTGAACATGTGAATTAAAAAAAATTTTCATTCATATCAAGGAATAGTTGAATAACATTATCAGTTGTAATAATATGTCTTCTAGATGAAATGAAGAAGTTCGATGGACACTCGAAATTGATAAAGTTATAGCTATCGGTTAAATTGAAACTTTTGTTTTTAGTTGATCGTAACAAAATGAGCTGATAGCAAAAATCCACAGCTCATGTAACTAATGAAGTTAAAAAAACGAAGGATTGTGTTCTAACAGTGAACGTTAATGTTAATCATTGTGAAATAATACTTAAAATGGAAGCATGATAATTATCGGAAAAGCTTATGAGGAAATAAAGATTACAATCATAGCAACATTTCGATATAGTTCATATCGAAATGTTGCTATGATTGTAATCTTTAAAAATGGATCAGGTGAACTGATCAATCTTTCATTTGTATTGCTTTCGTTCTAATTAATAGGCTAATCTTGCGTCAAATAAATTTGCTTTATCACGTTCTCCACATTAAGCAAACTATTTCATAAAATAAATAAATGTATCCGATAATATTAAATTTATAACAACACTAAAGGTAATAATTATATTTAAAGTTGATTAATTTTTAAAGATTACTAACTATGCAAATCATTGCATAGCACATTCAACTGCAAAGTTTAATAATGAATTGAAGCAAATTGTTCATAGGTATCAATTTAATTTCCTTAAATACTTTTTTTTATTGACCATCAAAAGTAAGTTTATGGAAGTGAAGGATTACTTGAACATCGATGAAAATTAAGTCAAAATACCTAGTACTTGTGTTAATGAGGCAGTTTCCGGTTCATTCATATCACGGATGTTACTGAGAGCTGTGAAAGTCTGAAAAAGAAATTATGATATTTTAATGCGCATCATTTCGATAATTTCAAAATATCATGTGAAGAATAAATTTTTTTAAGCATTAAAAAATTGGGCATTATATTTAGCAAATCAAAAAGCATATGTGAAATCAATCTAATTGCATAATTTCATTTTAAAAAGCTTTGAATTCCGTGTTATTCTTCTATCCTCATTTTATCATCATTATTTAATAGATCGATTATTCTATATTCTATCATTAACATTCGCTATCATTATTTTTATTTGCTTACTATTAAAGAAAATTTAAATAAATTTAACAAATAACTGAGTAAGCCTAATTGAAATGTTCCAAAATAATTACCCGTCATCATCAAAAACTCATAAAAAAGGCAGTAAAATATGAAATACTAACAATTTACAATACTGCAAAAAATATAAAAAACAGGAAGACATGTTTTCTAAAAGTAGAAAAATAAATACTATAAAAACGAAAAATAGAAAAATAATACAATAGTAGTATTATAAAATACAAATGTTAAAATAAAAAAGCAGGAAAATAAAATAATTTATGAAAGACGTTTTTTCTCGATTCATATATTTGTTTAAATAATTATGAAAAGGATTTGAATATTTGATTCTTGTAAGGAAAGTTTAAAGATTTCATTATGAATACATTAACTGATAAAGTCCTATCATTGAGTTTATCAAATTATGAAACATTAACATAACCTGTCTATTGTTTTCAGCATCTTCGGAAGGTTCCATTTGTTCTGTAACATTGGTTGACATCTTCTGATCATTTGATACCGTTTGAATGTCAAATGAAAGCATTTTACTTGACATCAACTCTGTGTCACCATTATTTGTCTCCAACATTCGAAATTATTATTTCATTATATAAGCAATGAAGCAATAGAATAATTAAATATAAATAATTACATATTCCAATAACTCATAATCAATAATGGTGAAATTTTCAAAATCATTATTGAATTGTAATGCTATCAAAATTATGATATTTGAAAGCTTTGAATTTTAAAAATAATTTTAATTAATTGGAGTTTATAATTTTTTCCATTCAAAAAGCACTCTCACTTTTTTTTATTTAAAAAGTTTACAAAAAAATAAAGTACACAGGCTTTTTTGGAAAATCTACGAATATATTTTGAATAATTATCTTAAAATTATTTCAAATGAGCCAGGAAAAACGATGGAATGCTTTGCTTCATTGATTTCAATAGATGAATTGCATGAAATGAAGCGAACTTTTAGGTTCAAAAAAAGAAATGATTACACATTGATCTTAAATGCATAGCATTGGAGCAAAATTCAAATACACAAGCACTCAGTGTGTTATCTTTCAGGGAAATTGGCAGAAATTGAAAGTAAATTATTATTTATTTCATAATAGTGATAATAATAAAGTAGTAGTAATAATGATAAATGATAGTATTCATGCAAGAAAAACATATTTGAAAAAATATTATGTTAAAAGAAAAACAAAAAAAGAAATTGTAGTCAAATTATTTTGATATTTACCAATAAATTTTATGCCATAAGTATGAAACATCTACAAATTAACCTTATCGAAAGAACTGTTTTTAGTAAAAAAATTTCTTCCGCTTCTTTTTTCATTTTTTATTTCATTTTCAATGAACCATATCTTTGAAATTCATAAAATTGAAAAGAGCTAAAAGAGTGCCATTAGCATTAGCATTCTATCTGATAGGATCCTAAGGAATATGATGAATTACGCATGGCCTCTTTCAAACACTGCAAAAATGACGATTTCATCGACATTTTTCCAGAAAAGGAATAAACCATACATGATGCATTTTCCAATAACATATATATTCATATTTTCAAAAACTTCATGCTTCAACAATCATAAAAAGACGTCTACAAAGCTTAGACAAAAAAAAAATTTTTCCAATAAATTAAAAAAAAAAATTCATTAATATAATTTATTTCAGAAAATGCTAGCAAGGAATTGTTTCAATTTTCATTTATTGCTTGGAAAAAAAAGTAAGAAACGGTTAAGTTAATTGATAAGTGCAAATTTATTAAGTTGTGATATGAAAGCCAAGGAAGATATTCAGATAAGCTAGTCAAAGGAATGGAATTAAGTTGAACAATAAATTATTCAGTGATTTCAAACTTTTTAAAATATTTTTTCATTTTTTGTTTATTTGAAAGTTTAATATTTTTTAGTTTCTCAGGAAAAAGCAAAAAAAAAAACATTATGACTAACTATAACATTCGACCTGTTCATATCGTTCGTTTCGGCACACTTCAATATTTCCGATTGTACTGCAACAGAAGTAATAAATTCCTGTACTTATAATAAAATAACTATCATAATGGTTAAGTTTTCAAAAAAAGATTTGAAATTCAGAAGCCAAAATTTAACTTTCATTTCAGCAGTGTGTACATATACATATGTTTGAAAGTTTTCTAAACAAAATAATTAAATTAACAATCATTAGCATAAAAATATCCGTCTTTGCTATTGATTTCCAATATGAATCATTTAAGCAAAATTAACAAAACTAACTTCAGATAAATTGCTAAAGTTAACCATACAAGTTCAGTTTAATAATAATAGCTTAGTTCAGTTTTATTTTATCCGAAATTATAAATCGGATAGCAAATAAGCGAAATACACAATTATTTTATACTACAACAATTACTAAACGGAAATGAATAGAAAGAGGACTAAATTTGAATGATTGTAAAAAATTATGCGGTAAGATTTCCAATTTTGAATGAATCAATTTTAAAGATAAAATCAATCAATTACGCGAAAGAATACTCAAAGTGATATTGATTGATGAAAGAAATTACTAGAAATTATGCAAAATATTTCTAAACTAGTAAGTTAAAAGAGATTAGATAAATTACTGGTTACATCCACCTTTTTTTTTCTTTGAGCAATTTCACTGCTGAAATAATTGAGGAAATTTTTGAATAAAATATTCGAAATTCAAAGAATTATAGTAAAATTTATAGTTGAACAAATTTTGATGGCAAAATTTTTTTACATTTTTACTTTCTTAACATCACTTTTTTTATTTGGTAATCGATAATCGATAAAACAAATTTTTTTTATACACTTTTCCCTTAATTTATGAAAGATTTGACCAGTTGTTTGCGGCTTTTTCCTGATCATTTATTCATTCTGTCTATTCTATCTCTTTTTTTTTGGAAGATGCACGTCATTTCCTTTTCTGTTAATATTCTCGTCGGAAAAAATGCTTTTGTTTCCTTTATTCTATCATAAAAATTTTAAGGTAGGCAAATCATCCAAACGATTTTAAAGATTGAAAAAATTTTTAACAAACAAAAAAAGGGAGAGCAATAGATTTGTGGAATAAATTAATCATAATTAGTAAGCATTCCGGAATGTAATAGTGAAGCATGGGAGAATGATAAAAACAATACGTAATAATAATAATATACGTAAAAACATGCGCATCCATTTTTGCATGCGCATGTTTTTCTTCTCTGCTCATTTCTAAACATATAAGATTGTGTAAAATCAATGCATAAGTAGTAGGTTTTGCCCGAATACGATTAAAAGGCCTTAGAGAATAAAGAGGTATCCTTCCTAAAGCCTATTCTTTTATTAGCTTGAAAGCTTTTTATAAAATTTGAAGTACACTTAACTATTAAGTCATAAAAAAACGCACATGCACATACAGACATATACATGTTTATACGCACACGTATATATCCACGCATACACATACACACACATACACAGACGCATACACAGACGCATACACACACGCACACACACACGCATACACACACATACGCACACACATACACATACACACACATACACATACACACA